CTCGGCGGCCGCCTTTGTCCGCGCCACGTGCATGGCACCCTTGTAGTGGCTTTTGAAGTGCACGGCCACGCGGCACGTGGCGCAGAACCCCACCGCTGCATCGGTAGATAGTTGGGCGCCTCCGGCTGTCTTCTCGCCCTCCACCAACGTGCAGCTCCGGAATGGCCACGGGACACGGTCCAGCGGCAGGTCGCGCCGAACGCGCTGCTGCGTTTTCCACGGCGCGTCGCTTATGAAGTAGCGCGGGACCCCCTGCCCCTCCTGCCGCGCCCACGTGGCCACGCTCCGCCCTGGTGTTTTGGAGACCGGTGGCGGTGGCGATGTTGATCCCCGCCGCCGGGACGCCCGCCTGGTAGACTTGGGTGGCGCCGAGGTGCCCGGGGCGGAAGGTTCTGGCCGCCGAGGCGCCCGCCGTGTGGGTTTCTGGCTGGAGGGCATGTCGCTGAAGGGCCTGTGACCACGACGACCGGCACCAGAACAAGAATGGCGCACCGCTGGCAGTCTCCGGCTTTCCCCGTCGCCCCACCGACAACCAGCGCCACCTATGTTGACGTAGGGGTCATTGACCCGGTTCATCCCCTCTCCGCACCACACAGACACACACACCTGCACCACCAGAACGTCCTCGAATGTTCCCGCGTGCGACCGGTCGCTCCCCCGTCCCCCTCCGCAGGGCAAAACGAAAAAAAAAAAAAAAAGAAAACATGCACGCTCGCAGACAATCAGCAGCAGCAACTGGGCGGGACCAACTTCTTTGCAAGCACTGGCTGTAAAGAAGCTAGTTAACTGAGACTAGAAAGTAAAAATGAGGGCCTTCGGTTGCGGAAATAAGCCCGCCGTCCGGCGCGAAATCACTAAGGTGACCGCTTCCTCAGATTATACCGGTGCGTGGTCCGAATGCGGTCCGCCGCGCCGGGTGTGCGCCGTTGCTTGCGCGCAGAGCCACTGGGCGCTGGCGCAGGCTCGTCAGACCTCGACGCAAAGGCTTTCAGGTCTGCGATATGGGCACAGCTGAGTTTTCTCGAAAGCGGGTCTTTCAGCAAGTACGCGAGTGGAGTCCAAGCTTTCTCCACTCGGTACGGACCAAGCCACTTTGGAGCGAGCGAAGTTGAGAAACCCTTGCTCGCGTCGCTAAGAGCGTGGTTGCGCTTCAAGACGAGGTCACCCACCTTAAATGAAAGGTGGCGACGTTTTTCGGTCGTACTGGGCCTTTTGCTCGGCCCTGGCCGATGCCAAACTCTGCCTCGCTCTACTGAGAGCTCGACAAAGCCTGTCCCGAAGTGTGGAAGCGTAAGCAGAACAGTCTGCCGGTTCTTCCTCGTCTCCGAGCTGGCATTGCATGACACTGGTCACCGGATTTACCAACTACCTTCCGAAATTAAGGAAGGCGGGAGAGAAACCCGCAGAGCGACTCTCGGAGGTTCGGATTGCAAATGCGAGCTCACTCAAATGGTCTGCCCAGTCCTTTTGACTTTCGGCAAAGGCCGCCAACATCGGTTTGAGCGTACGATTGGTTCGCTCCGTCAAATTGGACAGGGGATGGTAGGGTGAAGTGGTGCAGTGATCTATTCCTAGGGAACGGCACGTATCACCAAACACCCGAGCGGTGAAATACGATGCATTGTCCGTGATCAATCTTTTCGGAAAGCCGAACCGACAAAACACTTCCTGTAGCCTCTCTAGCACCGCTCGCGCTGTCACTTTCCGCAGCGGAAATAGCTCCACCCATTTGGAAAAATGATCAACAACTACCATCAGATGTATGAACCCCTGCTTACTCCTGGGGAACGGCCCCATTAGATCGCAGGAGCCGCAACACCTGGTACGCCGCTCACCGTCGTTAGCTTAGAGTTGGTCAACGAACTTCTTCAGTGTATGAAGTGCGGTGTGTGTGGCGGGCCTGGAAGAATCTCCAAGGAAGACCGCAAATTTGGCATAGCCGCGAAACTTGTTCTCACATGTGACGAGTGTGCGGTAAACTGAGGACCGTATGGAGCTCGCCGAGAGCAGGGGGGGACGAAGCGCACGGTCCCTTCGAAATTAACGTGCTCGCAATTCGCGCGGCAATGAGCACAGGAAACGGGCAAACTGCGCTCAACGATATTTTTTCCGCCCTAAATATTTCACGAAGAGGCCTGCACACCAAGACATACCCGATTATGTGAAATTGAAAATGAACCCTGCCGCGCAGAAGGCTGCAGCGCGCGTTATTGACGACTGCGCGAGCACCGTGAAAACGGTGTATTCCAAACTCAACTATGGAAATCGTAAAAATATCGCCGTTTCCTTTCATGGCACTTGGCTGACCAGGGGCCACTCATCCCATATTTGTGTAGGGACCGTGATTGAACTATTCACGGGTTATGTGCTCGACTTCGTCGTCCTATCGAACGTTTGTTTGGGCTGCCAGCTAGGGCCAAAGGAGGACAACCCAAGGTATGCCGAGTGGCTAGCTGGTCACACTTGCCAAAAGAATACCTCCAGTAAGCCAGGACGAATGGAGGTGGAAGCAGCACAAATTTTATTTGGCCACTCATTGGAGAGACATGGGCTCGGTTACACAACCATGTTGTGTGATGGAAACATCCGGGCCTTCAACAGTCTGCAGGAGGCACAGGTATATGGCTTCGTGCCAATAGAAAAAGAGGACTGTGTCAACCATGTGCATAAGCGCATGGGCACAGCACTTAGAAACCTCCTGCAAAAACAAAGAGCCGAAGGAAAGCCAAGCCTTGGCGGCAAGGGCAAACTGACAGGCGAGCTGGTCACAAAGCTCGCGTTATATTATGGATGGGCTTTACAAAGCAACCAAGGAAGCATTGAGGCCATGCATAATGCTGTCTGGGCAACCTTTTATCACGTAGCAACTACTGATGCAAGCCCTCAGCACTCTCACTGCCCAACTGGTGAAGAGTCATGGTGCAAGTACAACAAGGCTGTTGCCAAGCAGGAGACTCCTCCAAATCATCGCTACAACCTGCCGGAGTATGTAGTTGATGCCTTGCGGCCTATTTACTTAGTGCAAGAAAACCAAAAAAATGTAATATTTTTATTTACAATAGTGATTTAATTAGCAACAAACTTAAGCAACAGTTTCAGATTTCTAATGAATATACTTGTTAAGGCCATAACTCTGGTACCAATGAAGCTAAATATAAAATTATGGTTTTGTTGCATTCCCTGGCCTTCATGGAATGCTGTCATATCAAATTTGTAGCAATATTTTATGAGGAAGATGTCAAAAGGCTGGGCAGTATGCAAGTTTATGTAACAAGTCGATATTTAAAAATCTAAAAGCAATAGCAAAAACTAATTACATATTTGTTTTCAGTAGTGAAAAATACATATTGTATTAAAATTTCAGCTGGAAATACTGAAAATTAAAAAAAAAAAAAAACATTTCAGACCAGTGTCTCCCCTTAACCTCCGCTATCACGCTAACTGTAAGCTATAACTGTCTAATATTTAAATGCACCGACGTGAAATTGAATAGTGGTCTCACTCAATGCGGAAAATATGCTGCCAGAAAACATGCTCTGCAGAGAGACTTAAGCATCTTATAATCCGCCAAAATTATCAGAGCAAGGTACCTCGCATGTGAATTCTAGTTCCATTCCTTCGTCCTTAAACATGTTTAGAATGTGTTTACTTTTTCCCCATTTTCCAGCGCCTCAATTGTTTATAAATATTTTTTAAAATCTATAACGGTAACACTTCTCAGCAGTTTTGTTTGAACGGCCCAATCAAACCACGATGGTATTAAAGCCATAGCGCCTTATGAGCAGTTCATCATTGAATAACTATGAATTCAGTGTTCCAGCTCACATTCCTCACGATAGCATGTTTGGACCACATGTACCTGTAAGGAACAACTTGCATGCATCTCATCTATGTTCGATGTACACTCATCCAGTAATACCTACACTGACCCCATTATTAATTTCACATTCCATGCGTAGATATACATGCAGGTGCATTCGTACCTTATAAACAAGCGGCGGCTTGTTCTTTTTTTGTTTTGTGCTCGCACGGCACCAACGAGCAGTGGATGGAGCAAGAGCCACTTCTCTCAGTGTGCCAACTTTTCCCATAGTGCTCCGTGCGACCGCAGGACGTAGTGAGATTGCTTGAAAAAGGTCTGTTGGCAGCATGGCACACATGCGCACACTTGGGCTTCTGCAGACTGCAGCTGTTTATACCTGCCTGGTAGCGTATATTTAACCAAACGTACGTGGGGAGAAAACTGGTAGACAACAACACTCCATTACTGTTGGCTAATGGGCCTTGGCCGGGACCACAGAAAAATTTGCCTCACCCAAGTGTCACTGTATTTTGTAGACATGTCATCTCATTATTTCTCAGCCTCTCATCCTCATCTATTATCAACTCCAGCCATTCACAGCATGAGTGAAGCATGGCTCGGAACACTGATAAAGCACTGATAAACTGACTACCAGAGTGAAACAGTGGTTGCTGACTCAAAGGTCCCGTTTTCGATCCCAGCCATGGTGGTCGCATTTCGAAAAAGCCGAAATGCTAGACGCCCTGGTACTACATGATGTCTATGCATTCCAACACCAAATGATCAGAAGGTTTATTGTACTTTTACACCCAAGGTAACTTCAGCCCACCAATTTATCTGCTAGCAGCAACTCTACTTATTTTTACTCTCACTGATAGATCCAGGGTTTAACATCCCAAAACTAGCATACAATTATGAGAGACGCTGTAGTGGAGGACTCTGGAAATTTCGACCACCTGGGGTTCTTTAACTTGCACCTAAATCTGAGCACACGGGCAAACAGCATTTTCGCCTCCATCGAAAATGCAGCCGCCGCAGCCGGGATTCGATCCCGCGACCTGCGGGTCAGCAGCCGAGTACCTTAGCCACTAGACCACCATGGCGGGACGAAAATGCAGCAGCCACAGCCGGGGCTACTCGCACTGGACCACCACTTCTGTGAATAAAAAAGCACGAGAAAACAAGAATGAAACCAAACCTTTCGAACTGAAGCTACAATGCTGTTGAGGCTTCACAGTGGTGGTATCGGCAGATTCTGTGGCACTTCCATCAGTCTTCGGTGGTGGCTGGCACTCAGTCTTTGAAGAAAACAAGCGGTCAGATTCCCGCTTTTTGATTAGGCGAGGGGGAAGCTTGTTTTGCCGACCATGCACACTAGTTTTGCTTTTCGTCTGCAAAGAAAACAGAGTGTAGCAGTACACACAACACAACAAAAAAAAATCTGAGCTATAAATATGCATTTCAGCAGAGTGAATAAATAATCACATCACAGATGCAAATGCATGCTGCAGTGTGTTGCGACAGCGGGATGTACTCTTACCTCTTTCTTCTTCTTGGAGTCTCCCTCAGTCAAAACCTTGTGACGTTTCTTTGAAGTCACCTCTTGAAAGTCTCCGTCATCACCATCACACTGAGACTGATCAGTCACGGCTAGGTGGTCATCTATAACGACGACACCAGCATAGTTACTTAGGTCAATTCCTTCCAGAGCATTTGGCTTCTCCTTTTCAAGTTTTCCATTTGGTTGCCCTTGCTCAGACTTTTTGGTGTGTTTCCTGGCGCTCATGTCAGTGAGAGCAGCTTGAACTCCCACTGGGTCCTGCAGCTTCACCTCATCCATCCGGTACACCATGGTGGCTTGAGAGGGCTCTCCCTTGGCACTCACATCTCCTGGCCGCTGCTGTTGCTGCTGGCGTGACCGACCTCCTGGCCGTGAGCCACCCCCACGGCCCATTCTGGCAGGTGGCCCGCCACCTCCGGAGTCTCTGCGTTGCACAACGCCTCGACCATTGCGGTCACTAGGAGCTCCTCCTCCCCCTCGGCGTACCTCCCCACCAGATCGGCGACGTTCCTGACCTCCACCAGGGGCCTTCGAGCTAGTGGGCAAGCCCTTCTTGGATCCCGATGACTGTTGGCGCACACCTTCGTCGAAGCCTCGTCTATCTGCCACATCACTGCTTTCAGAAGCAGTTTCCCAGTCTTCATTGGCAACATCGGACAGGGCATCCTTACTTGGTCCTGCACCGCGACTTCCTCGTCCCTTGTTCCTCTCAGGATTGTCCTGTCTGCGAGGCTGATTTTTCTGAAAGCGTGGTGGCAGTGGCTCCATGCGATTGGGGCGCCGCACAACAGGACGACTACTGTTAGACCGTGGCTTGTTTACTTGGTTGGTAGATCCGTCTTTGCTTGCTTCTTCCTCCTTGTTGCCATCCTCAGGTTTTCCAAATGGAGCTTTTAAAGTCGGCGGCCCATAACCCCCAGCTTGGTATCGACCTCTGGAGCTTCGGCCTAACGCCATCGCACCTCCACGACCTCGCCGTGAAGGCTCCCCTCGAGGAGAGAAGGCGCTTTTCTCTTCTTTGTTTTTAGCCTCATCTCGGCGAGGCTCGCGAGCACGACCCACCTCTTTTGCTGTCCTATTTTTTCGGACAGAATCTGGACAGGCCTCCTCAGAACCCTCACTTTCCTCATCCTTGGGCCGCAACCGATTGATGGGCTTCTCTTCCTCAACACCAGAACTCTCACTACCATCGTCCTTTTTGCGGTCAAAGCGGGGCCCACGCTCAGTCCTACTCCGACGATACTCTCGGCTGCGCCCTCTGTAACCAACATTGCCACTGCTGTAGCCATTACCACCACGGCCCCCACGGCCACCTCTGTTTGCTTCAAATCTTCCCCCACTTCCCCCACGAGAACGAGATGCAGGCATACGCTTCTCAGCATCATCTTTTTTAGCAGCTTCCTTTGCCTTGTCCTCATCTGCACGGGAGTTATCCTCCACCTTTCCTTCCTTGACATCGTCCTTTCCATCATCCTTTGCAACTCCACCCCGTCGTAGTGGCACAAAGTTCTTCTTGCTTGGACCTGCACTGTCCAGCTGCTGCTGAGTAACAGGAGGTGGATGGTGTGTATGCCAATCCCGCCGCTTACTTTCACCAGGAGCAGAGGAGTATGGAGTGTCAGACCAGTCTGCCACTTGCGGTTTATCCTTTACTCGCTCAGCTGCAATACGATGCGGCTCCATTTGCGGCAATGGCATCTCTTGCCGTTGATCAGCGGGAGGCCTGAAAATGTGAGACCAAAACAGTACTTGTAAGCTTCCAGAAGAGGCTCAGAAAATTTTGAACTGCAAAAGATCCCTCGTAGTAGACTGCAACAAGTGTACCAAGTGAAAAGCTGTTTTCGACGACTGGTAAGATTGTTACAGCACGGAGGGAGAAAATGACATCAGATCATGCACAACAGCTGCTTTTTTTGCATGAAAATTTGTAAACATTCATGCTTCTATTAAATAAACTTGTTATTCGATATTCAATTCGATATTCGGCTTTTTTCTTAATTCGATTCGAGACTTACTATTCGATATTTGCACACCCTTAAACTTCATATCTCGGGCTGATTTCACGACGCTAAGACATCATTCGCGAAACCCATTTCACAAAACAAGTCGATTGAGTATGAAACTGAAACCACTTTCATGGCTTCTCAATGTGACGATTTCTTATAGTAGAGATTCTCTTGTATAGCGACCACAAAGCAAAGTGCACGTTACGCCTTCAAAGTGTAATGCAGCAGCCAAAACTCACATAGCCCTCTCATCCCTCAGGGAATCTCTGCTTGTACGACTGTCCCTGCTGTCGGGCCTCGAGGGCCGAGTCTCTCGCTCCCATTTATCCTGCAAAAGAGAAAAAAAAAAGTTACTGCAATATTGCACATTTGTGAACATATATTAAGGAACAGAGTAGATTTATAGCTATCAGGTACAGTTCACAACCATTTATTAACACATACTAATATATTCTGACACCTTCGCGGCACCGCCACTCGTCCCATTGAAGTAATGTACACTCGAGACCAAAAATTCAGACCCCCCAAAGTGCACACTGATTTTAGACTAGCTAGCTGATCAAGTGCGACCTCGAATGCTCCCCACAATGTTTACAATATTTTCGCTAAGTTGCCAGCACTGAAAGGTTCAACTGGCTGTGGCTAGATATCCGGTCAGTATCCATAAAATAGACACCATGGCCAAAGCGAAAGTTTAAGGGGCCCTGAAACACTTTTGACAGTAACCATGGAATGAATTCGCTGGAAGAGCTTATTGCCTCACGAATTCAGCGCCGCAAAAATTTTAAGAATCTGTCCAGTGCAAGAAGAGTTACAAAGATTTGTCGCATGCTGCAATTGCATTCTCTTTTCTCTCGTCCCGATGAAAGCGATGGAAGCTATGCCGAGAGCGATGCCAGGGGCAAAAAGAAATGTCATGCACGTCGCGTGACCTTGAGCACTTTTTCCTTTTTTTTTCTTTAAATCTTCGAATGTGCGGTCTCAGTGTGATCACGCGCTTGTAATGGCATCCCACAGTGACAAGTAGCAGCTTTGCGCAGTGATCTATGTAACGACCGAGCGCGCCATGTTCAAATCAGCCAATGGCTGACAGATGGGCTTTCTAACAGTGATTTTTGAGCGTCTTTCATTATTTCTCGAGAGTAGAGAAAGCAATTTTTAGCCGACTTTCTAATTTACTGCGAATTACAAGCCATGTGCTGCACTACAATATTTGTCTCGGGTGTTGTCAGGAGCCTCTACTACTGATCAACAGCATTTTCGGACCATGCACAAAAAGTGTTGCAAGGCCCCGTTAAGTCCAACCATGCTTGGCTTAAGGGGGGACACGGGTCTTTGTTTGGCCCAAAATCGCGAAAAAACCCGACTTTTTGAAGTTTACATTTTCGGAATCTGCAACGATTTTCGCACTTATCTGAGAAGTTTCAAGCTTCGCGCATCATTATTTCTGGCACAAAATCAATTTATAACACCCCTGCGAGATGAATATGAGCACAAATAAACTCTAAAGTCGCGCTTCTTTCCACGCCGAACCATTGCCTTTACACACGAGCTATCATAGTCATCTTGGTCTTGTTTGGAAGGGTCGTTGTCCATCTTCAATTTCCCGCCACCAGTGGCTCGCCTTGCTCATTGGTTTTTCAGAAAAAATGCGTCATCGAGTAGCAGAGCAGCACCACCGCACGATTCTATTGGCTGCTTTGGGAACGTGACAAAACCTAGGCACCCCATTGGCCAAGTGGTGTTTCCGGCGTCTGCTTTATCGTGACGTGCACGGATATGTGTCATTTTGTCATGGTGCTGTCAACTGCCTGCCGCAGTAAAGAAGTTCCTCGCCGCACTACCGTAATTACTCGAATCTAACGCGCACCTTTTTTCCGGTTAAGCGAGTTCATAAATCGCATGCGCGTTAGAATCGAGTACGAAAAAAAAAATGAATACGGTCATTCTATTGCCATCGGCATTTCCAAAATGGCCGCCCCCTACGTGCGTCGGCATGGCGCGTCGGCCATTTCTGCCTATGTGTTTCCCATGTGCGGCACTTCGTACGTATGCTGAGGAGTTCGTCATCTTGTAGTGCATTAGCATTGACGGCATGGAAGGGCCGACACTCCAAAAACTCGAGTGCACCACGATGCCGCTTTTAAAAGAAAAGTCATCGCGTGTGCAGAAACGGACGGAAATCGGGCCGCATCGCGGTCGTTCGGAGTTCCCGAAACGTGCGTGCGGGACTGGCGGAAACAAAAGCAGAAGATTGTCGACAACAAAGCTTCACGCAAAGGCTTCAGTGGACCACAGCAGGGTCAGTTTTCCGCAAATTAAAGAGCTGCTCGGCGAGTATGTGCTTGAGCAGTGAGCGGCACAGCGGCCCGTGACAACAGAACTCCTCTAAATGCGAGCTATGCAATTAGCCTTAGAAAAAGGTCTAATGCGGAGCCAGTTTAAAGCGAGCAGGTGCTGGATAACTAACTTTATGAAGAGAAAAGGCTTTTCCCTCCGAAGGGGAATGGGCATATGCAAAAAGTTTTGCGGAGGAGTACGATGAAAAGCTTCACAGTTTTCAGAGGTTCGTCCTTAACTTGCGGCACAACAACGGCTACCTGATTGGGCAAATCAAGAATGCCGATCAGACGCCTCTTAACTTCAACATGCCTGGCACCACAACCGACGAGAAGGGGGCGAAGCAAGTTCGCGTGCTGACATCAGTCCACGGTAAAACTACAGTGACGGCAATGCTCTGTTAGACGTCAGATGAGGTACAAGCTTCGCCCGTACCTCATATTTAAGGGGGGACGCGGCTTTGGGACCGCGAAAAATGGCAAAAAAAATCGATTTTTTGAAACTCAAGTTTTCAGTTTCTGGAACCCTTTTTCTATCTGGTTCCAAAATATCTACACTGAAAACTGCGCAGAAGTGCTTCGGAAAATTCGTTTCACCCACCTAGGTAGCAAAACTTTTTCTGGAAATGGCAAGAAAACGGCGATTTTCAAAAAAATATCTTCGCGATGCTTGGGCCGGGAGCAGACTTCTTGGGCTCATCGGAAAGAGCATTTCTCCGTGTTTAACTTTCCCACCTCAGCTGGCTCCTCCCTTCAATAACAAGCGAGCAAAAAGCAAATGTTTGAAGGTCGTTTTGAGGCCCTTGATTGGCTGTGGCCGCCATGTTGCCTCAGCTCGCCTCGACATTGGCCCAATGCTCGCTCGGGGAGATCGTCGTCTGCTGCTTGTGCGTCGCAAGGACAAGGCTCTCGAAAATCGCCACTTCGTGACGTGTTCACGGCTTGATAATCCCTTAAGATATAACTACGCTTTAGTTACGAGCACTAAGCGGATGCGCGATTAGGTTACTACGAGCGGGAGCGCAGTCTATGAGCGCCGCGCGTCATCGGAGTCGTCTTTAGCCCTAACTCTGCCGACAGCGAAACTGCGGGCAGGAACGACGCGCTAGCGCATTCGTGGCGACGTGCTTCTTTGCAAGCAATGAAGCTGAAAGCGGCGGCACGATCCGATTGCCAAGAGTGGCCGCACCGGATGCACGATCAGATTACTACGAGCGGGCGCGCGGCGGTCTAAGGGTGCGGCGCGTCATCGGAGTCGGCTTTAGGCCTAACTCCGCTGACGGCGAGACTGCGAGCAGGAGCGACGCGCAAGCGCACTCTTGGCGACGTGCTTCTTTGCAAGTAATGTACCACATCACCCGCTAGCTCCTCTGAATCACGTACGGGCATTTTACGCATCTGCAGAGGGCAACACAGTCAAGCTCGTCACCCCCCCCCCCCCCCCCTTCACTGCCATGGATAGCTCGGAACAGCGGCTAGCAGTTTCGCGCGTCGTCATTCTAAAATGCGATGCCAAGTGCAGTGCGTGCAGATTTTTTGTCTTCGTAGTTACACATTTCGCACATCGTCATCGAACGCCGCCGGCAAGTGCATTACGCGCCGGCTGCACTGTCCATGCGGCCGCGCACCCCACGGTCAATATGGAGTGCTGTCAATAAGCTTTTGTGATGCGATTCAGACGTGCTTGGAGCCGTGCTTGATATCGCCACGAACGTCTATGAATGTTTCGAGGTTAATGAATTGCTGTAGATTAGAGTTTCCGCGACCGGCTGTATGATGATGCGTTTCACAGCTAGAGCAGCAAAAGAGCACGTATGAATCAGGGGCAAGAATTTTTATATGCCTGTTTTACGTCATTAAATATACTGCTAAAAATTCCTGTGCCACCAGTTTTCTGCCCATAACTTTGTTATTTGGGAAGAAGGCATAGGCTGTCATGGTGTGATCCATTTTTCTGGTGCAATAAACCTCTCTCCAAATAAAGAAAAGTTCGGTGAATATTTGTAATCAAGTATTTAATTACGCTAATTACAACTTCAGCACAAAAAACATGTGTAATAATTTCAGTATATGGTTTCATTCAATTACAATCTTTTCTGTCATGCCTATCACACCACTCCTTCATACAAAGAACTTGGTTTGAAATCCATACTTGTTCTTTGTAAAACATGAAAAGAAAATTATGGGGGGAAAAAAAGGGCAACCAAGGCACACTGGTCAGAGACCAGATACCTGAAAAGTCAAATATCACAAGACAAACCCAAGATCACAATCTTTAGGTGTTTTATAGACGTAAAAAGAAGTTGAAACTTTAAACGCAGTTTTCTCAATACTGTTTTTTTTGGCATTATACTCAGCTCGTGGAGCAGATATCTGGGCAAGCACTGTACGGATTTTGATTCCGTTCATTTTGTAATGCTCCTTGAACTGTGCTTCAGGGGGCTGCGATCTTAGTTTTTCATTGTACTCCTTAAAGAATTTTTTATAGAGCTTCTTGTTTGCAGTGCAAGTGTGCTCATTGCAGTGTCGCTGGAGAAAATGTAAACTACAAGTTTTAGTGTTGCAAATAAGTTATTTTGAGAACGCAGCCCCCTTCAACATACATTTGGCTGTGGATACAGCAATTACCAACCATTTTTGTGATTTTATAAATCCTCCAGCCCCTCCACGAGGTTCAATTGAAAAATAATTTGTCTCTCATTAAGTATTTGTGCTATCACCTCGAGATTTTTGTGGATGCACGGTGAGGCCATTCTTAGTGTCTCTGCCGATTTTCATCATCATCCGACCAGAAACAAAAAAGTTCATTCTCAAAGGCACGTCCCCCCTTGAATGGAAGACGCTCCCGAAAGGAGTCGTTTTTTCGAGTGGTGTGATCGTGCGGGCCAGCGAGAAAAATGGGTGCACGTTGCAATCGATGTCTTGCGGTTTTTTTTTTTTTTTTTTGCCGTGGAAATTGGGGGCGCGTTCCAATCGAGGGTGCGGTAGA